CTGCACTCGTTGTGTGCCAGGCCCTGTGCAAAGTACTTCAAGTCATTTCACTCACTCTCCCAACAATCTTGAAAGACCGTACGCACATTCTCCATTGTACAGATGAAACCGAACACAGCGTAACTGGATGATATGAATGGGGAATTTGAGGGCTCCTGGGGCCAAGTAATCCTCCTGCCTCAGCCTCTCCAGTAGCTAGGACTGCAGATGCCCACTATTGCACCTGCTTCACATTTAGTCTTTTTTTTCTTGGTCTTCTTGGTGGTATTGGGATTCGAACCCAGTGAGCACTGTGCCACAACCCAGCCATTTATTTATTTATTTATTTATTTATTTACTTACTTACTTACTTATTAACAGGATTTCACTATGTAGTTCAGGCTGTACTGGAACTCACTATGTTGCCCAGGCTGACAGGATTGTACTGCTCCTCCTGCCTCAGCCTCCCAAGTGCTGGGATGACAGGTGTGTACTGCCACACCTGGCTGCATTTATTCTAATTTTGGTGGGGGGTACTGGGAATCGAACTTGGGACCTTGTGCTTGCCAGGCAGGCGCTTGTGCCACTGAGCTATATCCCTGGCCCTGGCTGCATTTATTCTAAGAAAAATGATGGCACAGGGCTGGGCTGTAGCTCAGTGGTAAAGTCCTCACCTTGTATCCACAAGGCCTTGGGTCATAGATGATGCCACAGAAGATAAAAGCCTCGAGTAAGCTGGGCGTGGTGGCGCATGCCTGTAATCCCAGCACTTGGGAGGCTGAGGCAGGAGTATCACTGTGAGTCTGAGACCAGCCCAGGCTACAAGTGAGTTCAAGGCAGCCTGAACTGCATAGCGAGACCCTGTCTCAAAAAGACCAAAAAAAAGGGTAAAAGCCTCGAATCAGCTGAGAATGGCTGCCTGGGGAGGGTGGACTGGAAGACACTGTGATGTGACATCCAGCCTCAGAAAGAACCTGATTAGTAATGTATGCCACCAGCACCTGCTGTAAAACGGCCACTAACAGGTCACAGATCTACATCTGGGTCTCTCCACATTAACACTATGCTAAAAGTTGGCCAATGCAGCACATGGCTGTAATCCCAGCACTCAGGAAGCTGAGGATCACTGTGAGTTCGAGGTCATCTTGGGCTACATAGCGAGACGGTCTCAGAACAACTCCAACAAAAACACTACGCTCTGGATTTACCACCTGCAGGACAAAATTTTCCGCGTGAAAACTTCCAAGCAACCCTCCCCACCCTGGAAACCCAAGGAGGCGCTTTGCTCCACTGAACAATGAGAAACTGAGTCTCGGAAAGGCCGAGGCAGGACTGGCACCAGTTACCAAGCTGCAAGCAGCGGACCAGAAACTTAAACTCCGAGTGTTGACCCCAGCATCCACTCTCTAGATGCAAAACACTAAAAAAGGTAAGAGCTGTGAGTCAACTGAAACCAATCCTGACTTTAACAAGTAGTACCAGGGGCTGGGGATTTAGCTCAGTGGCACAGCGCTTGCCTGGCAAGCATGAGATCGTGAGTTCAATTCCTGGTACCGGGGGAAAAAAAAAAAACCCAAAACAAACAAACAAACAAAAAAACAAGTAGTACCAGCAGCTGGGCATGGTGGCACACGCCTGTAATCCCTGCACTTGGGAGACTGAGGCAGGAGGGTCCCGTGAGCTCCAGGCCAGCCTCAGCTACAGTGAGTTCAAGGTCAGCCTGAAATACATAGCAAGGCCCTGTCTCGTCAAAAAAAAAAAAAAAAGTAACAGTAAAGCAAAGCTGAAGGTCTACTATCCGCCACGTCTTAGGTATTGATTTTTTTTTCCAGGACTTTGCTCATGCCAAGCAAGTCCCATACCACTGAGCTTGCAGTACATCTCCAGCCACTGGCCACTGACTACAACCCACTCAGTTGGTGGAATCTACTCATTCAACTTAGTAAGCTACTTTTTTTTTCTAGACAAGGTCTCACTATCTAGCTCAGGCTGGCCTCAAACTCATGGAGATCCTCCTGCCCCAGCCTCCCAAGTGCAGGGATGACAGGAACACACTACCACGCCTGGCAACTCAGTGAATGTTTGCAGAGTGCTACCACATGCCAGCTCCTGGTTGGCTGTACCCCCATGGTCACGTGTCCTCTCTGGTCCTGTCCCTCCACGGAAGGCCTGCCACAGAGGCGCCCAGTAAATGCAGATTTCTGCGATAGTTGGCAGTCATGGCTGCAGGGGTCCAGAGAGCAGACTGCGGCATGCAGCCACCACTTGTGTGCCCATAGTCTGGTTTTTGAAGCCCCACCAAGTACTAGGCACTGAGCATGTGTGAAGACTTCAGACTTCCCTTGGCAGCTATGGGAAGGTGAAGACTTTCTGCCCCATTTCTCAGATGGGGAAACTGAGGGTCTGACAGAAGGATTGCTCAGGGTGACAAAAGGAGGTGGAGGTGAGGAGGACAGCACTTCACTGCTAATCCAGAGTTAATGGAGTTACTGGCTGCAAAGCCCACCCGGTCCAATTTGGATGGAATTACCATAGGATAGGTCAGACTCTGGTTCCTTTTTTTCTTTTTTTTTTGTACAGGGGATTGAACCCAGGGCCTTCCACTGAGCCACATCCTCAGCCCTTCTATTTTGGGTCAAGGTCTCACTAAGTCCCTCAATGTCCGGGCTGGGCTCGAACCTGCAGTCCTCCTACTCGGCCTCCCGAAGTACGGGGATCACACACGTGCCTGCCGCACCCGGCTCACTCATCTCACCAGCACCCTTCTCCTTCCCATCTGCCTGGAGCTTAGCAGGGGTCAGTGTCACACTGTGCCCTCAAGGGCTGAGCCCATAATGGGGATCGGATTGGCAGAGGCCGCACCCTCCCTGCCCCAGCCTGCAGTGGGTCTGTGGCCTGGGGTGATGGCATCAAGGGACTGGTCCAGCTCTGGGGAGCGGTGAGACCAGAAGGCCGGAGCACAGGGCCAAGATGGAGAGGCCGCGCCGCCCAGGGGCCAGGAAACCTTCCAGCCACCTCTGGCCTCTTCCACTGCGGCCTTCGAGTTTCTGCCTCTTGGTTTCTCTTTTCTTCTCTTCCCCTCCGTCTCTCTCCACCCCAGTGCCCGCCTTGTCCCCTCCCCTGTCACTCTTTCCCATTACATATACCTGACACATGGCTTTGCTGTGAACGCACCTGAGACCAATTGCTCCAGACCCTCCTGCGTTCCACCCCTTCTGCCCCTGGCCGCGTCCCCGGCCCCAGTCACACTGGCAGGTGCCGGGGTACCCGCCACAATGGAGTAGAGCACTGACTGGCCGGGAGGCCGGGCCACCACGTGGTGCCGGCTGGGCCTCCGACGTCTAGGTCCCTCTCCTTCTGTGCTGGGTCCTCACGGTCTCAACCCACCCCTCGCTTCCTTCCCCACCCCCGTGACGTCAGCGCCTCAGTGTCCCCGCTTTGGAGCGCTCAGGCCCCCAAGAGCCTCAAGCCCTTGTGTGACCTCTGACCACACCCTCTTCCCCTTTGTGCACGACCTTCCCTTTCTTCAAACGCGAGGAGCACACAGGAGGCAGCCTAGGGGGTGTCGGGCCGTCGTGGGGCTCCAAGGGTCGTCAGGGGGCCACGCGCCCGTACCCGGGTGAACAGGGTGCACAGCCGGGAGAGGGAAAGGAGCCGGCCCCGGGTCACACAGCAGGGGAGAGGGGACTCGCTCTCAGAGCCAGGTGGGCGGGTCCCAGGATCCAGGAGGAGAGGCCCAGACTTAGAGGGAGCCCTGGGCGTCCCCACACCCACTGTGCTGGCCAGCACTCGAAATCGCGGGCCCAGGAAGAGACACATGGTCCAGAGACGCAACGCAGAGATGGAGAGACAGGAAGAACCGAGAAGGGAGGCCCGGGCGCCGGGACCAGACAAAGGACGCTCGGCGGCGCGGGGAGCGGAGTCGCGCGGCAGGGGCGGGGGTGGAGCCTGGGTGGGGCTAGGACCGGCCGGCCCCGCCCCCGGGACACGCCCGGGCTGCCGGCTGGAGAT